CAAATCTTTTTTGCTTTCTTCAGAGCTATTATACCTGCTGTTCTCATCAATGTTGCTACATCATAAATTTGTAAACTGGGTCATAAGTGTGTTTCAGTGACAACTGTGCAATATATTTTTAAGATTTTGGTTATCTCAGATGAAACAGACACATATAAGAATAAATTACAAATTTATATACAAAAATCAGAAGTGAAGCATAAAACCAGCTATTTGGATGAAAGCATATACAATTCTTGTTTAAACAGTTAAAAGTGCAATTAGATTTATACTATGTTTATCTCACATTTTGGATCCTAGAATCTGAAATAATTGCAATATTCAATAATGTCAAACTTTAATCATTAAAACAAGACTTTATGCAAAAAGAGAGGGACAGTATTTCTTTGTTCTCCAGTGATTGGTAGTTTTAGGTATATAACAAGAATTTAAATCACTTAATGAATAAAGAAAAAATAATTGCACAATACTATCAAATTCTTTTATGTGTTATATATTGCTTTGTATATATTTTTTTGCATTAAAGCACTCTACATTTTTCTGTTACTCCTTACAAAAAACAGAAAGTGGGACAGAAACATAATAGCAAATATTTTTGTGAAGCCTCAGACACCTAATATAAGATTTAGTTTAGCAAGTGAATTATCTCCCAGAAATAAATATAAAATTTCATTTCCAAAGATTTTAAAAATGATTCAGTATGTTACAATTCTGGTTTTTAAAAAATATAATTTAAAACTAAATTAAAGTAAAAAATTTGTTATTAAAGTAACTATCATTATGGACATGGGTTACTATTTCTGACAATAGTGTCCTACAAAGAAAAGACGAACAGTGCTTGTCAAAATAACATTTGTGTACATTTTGTGTAATTTGATTTCTTATCTATAAATAGTTTCTATTTTTAACAATGACTATAAAAAAAGACTTGAGTAATGCTAGGAATGGTGGCACACTCCTGTAATCCCTCCTACATTGAAGGCTGGGGCAGGAGGACTGCAAATTCAAGGCTAACCTGGGCAACTTAGTGAGACCCTGATTCAAAATAAGAAAATATAAAGAACGAGGGATGCAGAAGACTCCTGCGTTGAATCCTCAGAACCAAAAAATAAGCCAAACCCAAACAAACAGCCCCCTGTCGCCCCAAACTCCTAGGAAATAGTTCCTTAGTTCGCTAAGCACTGCTCATGTAATATTTCCCTCTGGAAAGTCTATATTCACATTAAGAATTTTAAAAATTGTTCTGATAAGCTGTATTTCTATCCTTCTACATTAATGACAAGATTTAAGAAATTCAATGTACCTTTTTTTTGGGGGGGTGCTAGGGATTGAATACATGATTCAACTGTAAATAGATTACCATGGGTCATCTAATAATATAGCTGTATTGTGTTGACCTCTTTAAGTTCCTTTAGAAGAAAAAAAAGCCTCTTGCATGTTTTTGTGTAGAATAACACAAACAGAAGTTGAACTATGAATTTTATTCTTAAGTAAAGCTTTTAACAAGGCTTCTTTTCCTTTCACATATCCCTTTTCCAGAACTCTGTATCTTTTTTCCCAAGGCAGCTACAATTGCCATTTGCCAAAATGTTCAAGAATCTTTTCCCTCTCAAAAATCCTAACAAAACAAAATCCTAAACAAAACCAACAGTCTAAAAAAAACCAATCATCAAATCACCCATCTATCAGAGGGAGGAGGGGACTGTGGGTGGTTAGTAGTAGCCTCCTTCTGTTACTGGTTCAAAGCATTTCCATTAACTGGAATTAGTACGGAAGCAAGGCTAATTAGGAATTAATTTTTAGAAACACTAATTTTTCTAAAGATGAATACTATTAAAGTATACTGAAGAGTAAAAAAAGTTATTTCATTACCTAATCATTTCTCTATGTCTTCTAGTTCTCATATATGTAGAGACACAGTTTTTAAAAAATAGTAACCAACCAAATGTGGGCTTTTTCACTTTAGAAAGAACCTAGTATAATAAAATATTAAAGTTCTTTAGGAAACGATTTCATCTGTATTATCAGTTGTAACCCATTAAGTATAGATCAACACATATGCCAATGGGAATGATGCCCATTTTAATTGCTTGATTGGCCAGCACTTTTTCTAAATTAGTCCTAAATTTTTAGATGGAATATACAGCTAGCTCTCAAGTAGCCAGTATGTTTAATTTACCCTTTACTTTAGAACATATTTTTTCTACCATAAATATAATGTATCCTTTAAGAATATGTTTCTTAGCTGGGTATGGTGGTACACACATGTTGTCTAGTACTCTGGTAGGCTGAGGCAAGAAGATCACAAGTTTGAGTCCAACCTGGGCAATTTAGTGACTTATAAGACCCTGCCTCATAATTTAAAAAATAAAAAATGGCTAGAGATATAGCTCAGTGTAAAGGTCCTGGATACAATCCCCAGTATTACCAAAAGAATGTATACGTATGTGTGTTTATATTTCTTTTTATACACTTAGCGTTCATTAGCACTTTGGACACAGATACACAAAGGAAGGAGAAAAAATGGAAATGTAAGGCAGTTTAAATTTTATTTTTATCAAATGATTACAGTACGAGAAGACTGAGTTGAGCCATTCAAATAATAAAAATGTGGTTCTCAGCTAGGTGTGGTGGCACAGGACTATAACCCCACCTCAGGACACCAGGCACAAGGATCAAAAGTTTCAGGCCAGCCTGGGTTACACAGAGAGTTCCATGCCAGACTGTACTACAAGCAAGACCCTCTCAAGAAAACAAAAATACAAAGAAATTAAAACACAAAGAAAACAAAACCCCATCAGCAAAATATTGATAACTAATGTATTTAGAAATCTATGAAACAGGAAAACTGTAATTATTTACTTATGTGTTCAATTGATGTCAGTCTATTTATAGTAATTCAATGACTTCATAACGTACCAACAAAACTATTAAAAAAAAAGTCAAAATCATTGTTTCTGAATTTTCTTCTTCTGCAAAATAAAGTTAACTGTATTCCAATTCCATGGTTTCTTGTGATTGCTTATAAGCATTTTTTATATAAACAGAAATTGGAATGGGGTGAATGAAAAAAACATTCAAATAAATAAAGATTTTATTTATTCTCCGTACTGGGACTCAAACTCAGGGACTCATGTATGCTGGCTAGCACTTTACCTCTGTGCTACATTCCCAGTCTCTAAATAATGGTTTTGAACAAAAAAATATGAACCAAGAAATACTGTAGAAAACTCATTTTGAAATCTTTAATTTTTGAAAAAGACTTCAAAATTAGATTTCTCAGACTTGATGCTAAATAACAAGATAGTCTTAGTTGTGGGATCTATTACTGAGTAGCCCTGAAAAATAAAACTAAAATTTCTTCTTTTATTTAGAATGAAATCTATATATAGCACTGCTGACCTAATTAATCTTGCTGATATTGAGTCCTTATACACTACTCACCTCATTTCATTTTAAAAATATTCTCTTGAAATGTATTAAATTTCAATGACCCAGGAAAACAAGAATAAGACACTACATACCTATGCTGAGCACATGCCTGAAATCCTAGTACTAGGGGAGCCTGAGCAACCTAGGTTGTCTTAAAAAAAAAAAAAAGGTTGGGAATATAACCTGGCTTCAATCCCCAGTAACCCCCCAGTAAATAATAATATACCTATATACTCACTTGCCAGATTTGACAAATGTAACAAATGTTATTCTTGCTATATTTGCTTTATTTTTTATAAAAGAAAAAGTTGCAGGTCCAATTGAAGCCTCCTTTATTCTTTTCTTAGACACTGTAACATTTATCCCCACACACTAGAAGTGATTATTGTTTCTAAAGAAAATATGCATCCTTTCTGTTCATTATTCATACACATTTACTATGTTTTCATAAATATTAATGTCATTACAACATGTTTTTAAATATTACATAAATTATGCCCATTTTATCATTTTGTAATTTCCATTTTTCTCTTAACAATGCCTTTGAAATATAAGTATTATTAGATTTGATATATAATAATTTATTTATTTTGAGCTGAGCATGGTGGTATACAACTGTAATCTCAGTGCCTGGGAAACTGAGGCAGAAAGATTACCACAATTTTAAGGTTTGCCGGGGTTACATAGTAAGCCAGTATTATATTAAGATCCTGTCTCAAAAAATAACAACAAGAATAGTTTTTTAAGTTTTTTCAAACTGCTTCTAAAGATGTATTATTCTGCTCTTGATAGATGTTTAAGTTGTTCCTAACCAATGTAGCATGAACATCCTTGTATATACCTCTTTGAAGATATAATTCTTTTTATATTGCTTCAATGAAGAGTTTTCCTTAATTAGGTGCAATTTCAATTTTGTGTCTTTTTTTTTTTTTTTTTAAAGGATAGCATTTTTCTACATTCAGAGTTCAGGCTGACCTAGTCTCACTATGTAGTTTAGGATGACCTCGAATTTGAAACTACCTTCGTGCTTTAGCCTTCCAGTGCTGGGATAATAAGCACGTACCGCCATGCCCCAGCTAGGTGGAATCTTTTAACTAAACATATGAAATTAAACATAAAAATAGTCGTTCTCTAGCATAACATTAGTGTCATACTATTTAGCTTAAATTTTTATTTATTTTAGGTCTTTTACTTCTTTGTTAAATGCTTGTGATAATAGGGGGGAAAAAACCCCAGAAATCTGAAACCTAAGCCCTTTTTCTCCCTTGAAAATAATTCTACTTAGGAGCCTATATGTCATATGTCTGCATATACAGAATTTCTTAGTTTTAGAATTCCAGTGCTGTTATCACCTCAGGAAATTAAAACAAGGAAGATGTATCATGTACCAGCATTAAAGTACTCTTTTCTGTAGAACCAACATGAGGGTGGGAGAAAATCTTGTCTAGTTTCTACCCGTGCTCTGTCTACCAAAACCGTGAGGGTACACTGACTGAGTAGGTTGGAAAGCCAGGAAACCTAACTTTTTCTTATTTCCTTTAGGGAATGAACATGGCAGTACGGTCTACCTTTGATTGCTTGTCTTTTGATATTCCTGATTTCACTTTATCATGTGGCTGGTCAAGAGTCAGATGATTTTCTTTGGTTTCACCATCGTCAAGCAGAGGAACACAGCCATAACCGCTATCTACAAGACAAAAACCTCTTGGATATTAGTAGAAAAATCTTATTTTTGCTACCACCTGAAAAAATAAAAACCAAAAAATATAATTTTAAACAGTTTTTAAGCTATAGGTTTAAAAATATTTAGATAATAACTACCTTGAAAAATGGTTCACTTATATTTTTTCTTTCTATGAAATATACAAACCCCATATTCCCCAAGGTCAGGTGTAAAATTGGCAGAATTCAAAAAATGAAAAATAGGATGTTTGCATTTTACTTTTACCAACAATACACTTTTATACAAGTCATATTTTCTAGTATACATTATTTGAGATAATTATTTATACAACTATTCCATGCTTATTGTAGAAAAACTAGAATATGTAGACATGACATAAAGAATAAAAGCTACTCATAATTTTTTAAATTTTGGTTTATATTCTATTAATTTTTTTCCTATACATAATAAATTCAAACAAAAATCATTTTTCTATATAAATAACATTTATTTTTATAGTCTTCATTTACTTTGCTATATATTGGGAACATATTGTTGGTAAGTAATCTCTATTATAACTTTTCTCGGCTACGTAGTTGTTCATACGACTCACTGTAACTAAATTATTGGACACATCCTCCTTTTTTGATTGTTTACTGATTTACAGTAAAGGACACTACAAAAGGAGAAATGCACAGGGCAAGGTATGTGGGATGGGGCACAGACCTTCCTCTTCCACAGCCTTTCTGGATGCACTGCCCTCCAGAAACCTCTCCATGTTTAGTTATCTGGAAAATCAGATACTGCTTTTAACTTTTCATTACTAGAAATCACACTGTGGTGCACATCTTGTATATGTATCTTTGGGTCCTTGACAAATTTTCTTATACTCTAGTTTTAGGACTTCAATTTTGATTCAAATAATACAGAACAAGGCAATGTTTTGGAAGGAAGGTTTATCAAGGAAGTTTTATCAACCTAGAGTTGCCGTACAGTATATACAAGAGTTCATTTTTTCATACCTTGCAAGTGTTCATTTGAATAAACATAATGCATAGGTGTACAACTTACTACATCTGAACTATTGAGAACCAGCAAAAAAATAAAGTAGTAAATAAAGTAGTAAATCTCAACTTCCATCTTTCTTTTCTCTAAGAGGTTCAAGAAATACATAAAAAATTAACATGAACATACCTCGACTGGAATGTACAAGAAGTAACTGTGATTTTAGCTTGTCAATAATAGTTTGTTGAAGTGACAGCTGTTCCTGTTGCTCACGTATTTTCTGCTCATAGTTCTCAGTCTGCTGACATGAAATCCAGTTAGCCTGATATTTACTGACAGAGATGAACACACATTTACTGTCCATTAAGAAAGAAATGGATAGAGTTGCCCATATTTTTATTTTCTAGGTTTTGGAAAATTTATTTATTAGGTACAAACTGACTCCATGTATCGACTTGTAATTGCTACAAACATCCGTGATTTAAAACACTTAAAGCATTGTAAAATTAAAAAAAAAAAAATTCAGTTCAGGGTTTGACATTATGGCTCAGTCTTTCAGTTAGGATAAAAATCATAATGAAGAATTAAAGTCTTAAAAAAAGTATGAAACAAAACATGTTCTATTAAAAGTAATTCTTTAAAAATATTCCCTAATGTAAAAAAGTAAAAATTCATGTCATTCAAAAAAGCCACATTTACTACTCATACAAAGGTGAACTTTCATAATTAAGACACTTCAAAAATGAAAAACTAACAGAACTGATAAAACCTCCCAGTGCGTAGCCTGTGCATGTTGCCTGAGGGGAGTCCTACATATCTTAACAATCTCCATAGAACTTTGCTAAGCATTATCAACTACATGCTTACTGAAATAAAAAATATAGGAAATAAATAATCCAAGTAAATTTTATTATAATGAACCTTGTGTCTGTCTGGACCACACGTTCCATGACCATGAGTTTTGGAACTGATCCTTGGATGCTCAAGCCTAGTTAAAGACTAAGCTTTCTAGGATTTGACATCTTAGTGTTACATCAGTTCACATCTGAGCTGCTATAAACAGTGGGTAAGTTAACTGAAAGAAGGATCCAAACATCTATAGCAAATTCCTAATACTTTATAGTTACCTGGGCTACACAGAACTACAAGCGTTTAAAAAATCAGTAAATTGGTGGCAATCTTACTACTGCTATGCATTTAGAACATTCTCCAAATAACTCTAGGTTCTTCACAAATATCAATCAATAATTACCAATTTTTACCATATTGTGGTAGGAATATATAATACACTGTCCAGAGATTAAGTAACCAGCATAAAGAACTTAACAGGTTAGAGAGAGGCCCAGAATAAATGTCTAAGTTATGCAAGTTTCAACCCATTCTTCATCTACTATGAGTTTTTTCCAAATTAATGACAAAAATAAATGACCATACACTTTTTTACAGAATCAACTTAGAAAGCTTCTGCCCATTAATTTTTAATGGGCAGAATTAATGAGTGAAAATGCTGAATATGGGGGGCTGGGGATTTAGCTCAGCGGTATAAGTATCTGCCTTGCAAGCAGGTGGTTGTGAGTTTAATCCCTGGTACTGATAAAAAGGAATAAGACAAAAAAAAAAAAAAGCTGAATATGTATTTAATAGGTAGGAGAATTAATACAGCAAAGGCTATTTCAAGCTATTTTAATACTACCTGATAACTATTTTTAATACTACCTCATAACATTATATAGCAGTAATTCCCAAATTCTGCAATAATTTAACAAAATGATACTGTGAAAGTACAGCAGAGGAAAGAGAACAGTTAAGAGTTCATTATTTTCCTACTATACTTTTTCATATAGTATATTTATATTATAGTTCTTAAAGTATTCTAATCTGTCTATATGTCTAATTTTCCTCTACACTTATACTTTTCAGGGGAAGAGACTATTATTTCCTGATATTTCCAAAGTATCACAGAGCACCTGGCATATATTAAGATGATCAGTAATTAGTTGAATAAATTAAACTGTTAATGATACATCTGGGAATTAAATATTTCGTTACAAGTGATGTGAAGAAGAGAGGGAGAAATGGCTTTGTTTTTATTTCTGTAAGGAAAAGAAAAACAGAAAGGTCAGTAGTTAAGGAAATATACTGAGTTAGAAAAAATGGATATAAAAGATAGAGTTGAAAAGGTTTTTTGGGAGTATGGGACAGCTATACCATTAGAGAAAAAGGTAGCAATTTGACAAGAAATAAAACATTCAGAAAAACGTATAAAGATTTTGATCATGGGCTATAAAAGTCTAAAAGAAGGCATTCTATCAAATTGGAAAATAACCAGTGGAATTTAGTTTACTTGCTATGCTTAGAAATTAAGTGAAACAAATTTTTAAGGATTTTGTTCACTAAACAAATCTAAATAAACAGATGATCAGAAAAATCCTTTAAAATGTCAAATAATTGTTGCTTGGTCATAGTATTTTTTTTTTTTTAAAAAAAACAAAACAATACAATTACAAAGCAAATACATTCCGGTACTATCAAAGACCCCACAAAACAGAAAAATCACTAACAACCACATTGAAAATGTACAACAGCAATGTCTTGTCAACACTTCTGTACAGAGCACAGACATGACAGCTAAAACAGACAGAAGAGAAGATGCTTTTGACAGCCAGTGTGTGTGAATGATTCTTTGAGTCAGATGGCAGCAACAAGTTACCAACTAGGAGATCTGCATGACAACTAACCATCCATCTGTATCAAACACCATCTGGCCAAGACGACTCTGGCTTCTGTGTATTTGACACTCCTTCTAATTCCAAAGATTAGCAAAACAAGTAGTCTACTAGCATTTGAAGAGGTAAACAATTAGGCACTTGTGTCACAGGTACTTTATATTCCTTCTTAGGGTTCAAAAACAAAGTTTAAAATAATGGTGATAAAATGAAAAAAAAAATCTCAAATTTATTAAAAATTATTTTCCATACATGCTCTAGAGTACTGTAAATAAAACTAAAAGTTTATCTTAAGAACTGTGACTTTACCAAGCCAAAATTTCAATCCTTTCTCTTCAAAATCAAGGCACTGTATTTCCTGTAATTTTGGACATACAGTTATTTGGGATTTCACAGTTCTATAGGTATTAAAATAAGAGTTCTATAAATTGATTTTTTTCCCTATTGTTGCTGACATCGAACAGTCTTATTTTTCCTATTTTTCAAATTGCTTATTTCCAACAGCTGGGAATAAAAACAAGTGTCCTTAAGTCATCTGTAATACTCTAAACAAGCCAAACAATATTTTTTTCTTATTCTCAAAAGCAAATTTCAATATTCTGAAAAAATACCATGACTTTCCTCCAATGATTTCCTAAGAAACCTAATAAATGTTGAATGGATTAAAAATAGTCTCAATCAAAAAACCTTTCAAAGTGCTCCAAGATTAATAAAGAGAATGAAAGCTTTATTGAAGAAACTGCTTGGCTATAAATGCTCTCAATAGGAAGTTCTCAGTTCACGAAGATAAATATTAATTATCCCAATACATAGCACTTCAGATAGAAAGTAATTAATTTAGAGGCAATGTAATTAAAGGCCATTTTGAAACTGCTAAGCTAAGCAAACTCAAAGTTTTTTATTTTATTTTTTTAAGTATGAGTTCGTATACCCTGGCTCACACAGCTCTTTCTTTTACCTAAGTTATAAGCCTCACACACCCCTCATACACTTCCAGATACTAAGATTTACCTAACCAATCTGCAATATGATGGTATACGTTACCAACCTCAGTGCCAATAATGCAATTTTTAAGAATGCCAAGTGGGAAGTTATAACCAACTATTTTACTTTACATTTCTATTTTCATCTTAATTTATTTGTCTCTCTGAACTATTAGCTTTTTTCTCTTTAAAATGAAAACCATATTTACCTGAAGGACTGAAAGAGTTGGCTCATAAAATATGTTGTTACATATTAAGCTCTTGGCAAATGTTAGTTCCACCAAAGAATCTACATAATAACTAGTTTGGCAGGGGCACTCTAAAGTCCTCAATAGGGCAATGCTCAGCAGTCTTGAAGTTTAGACTTCAGATAGCTCTTGCAAGGATAATCTCCAGCAGGGTTAAGGGGACAGGGTAACCTTGACATCACAGTGGCAAAATCATCACTCTACTGGAAAAGCAGCATCACTGTATTTTGGAAGAACATAAGTTGTTCAATTTCATAGGCTCTCAGATGGAGAGGAATTTGCTGTAGGAGTCTCATCCACATCTGATTTATCTGATATTTAGATAAGACTCTAAATTTAGATTTTAAAGCTGATGTCATGAATTAAGACTGCTGGGATAGAAATATTTTGTGAGAATGGTATGGTTTGAATGTGCTGCTCCCAAAATTCAAGTTAATTTAATTCCTGTAATAAGGTATTATAAGGTGGGGCATTCTGGATGATAAAATTAGGTCATGAAGGCTCCTCCCTAGTCAATGACATTAAGGCCTCTCTAGAAGAGGTTTTGCACAGTCTGACACTTTTTGTACTTTTATCACTTCCGCCCTGTGAGTACACAGTGCTTATCTCACATACATCATCTTGAAAAAGAAAATTGCACCTCCCTAGACAACTAAACCTGATGCTGTCTTAATTTTGGAATTCCTAACCTTTAGAACAGTCAGAAACGTATTTCTACTATATAAATTATCTAGTTTAAGGTATTTCATCATAGTGGCACAAAGAATGTGTCAACAAAAGTTCTCATTATCATTGAACTGTCACCAGACTTATGACAGAACCATCTTATGCTTTAAACAAGGTTTTTTCCTAGTTCACTGGAACCCAGAACTCACAGGCTACTTTTGAGAAATCAGTGTGGTATCTCCACTGAATTAAAAACATTCTGTCAAGCAAGAATCAGTGAAAATAAAACCTTTGATTATTCAAAGTTTACAAAGAGACCATCATGAATTAAAAAGCTCAAAGAAAAATTAATGACAAAACTTACAAAAAATTGCACATCTGTTGCAAAAATGCAAAAAAAGCAGCAAAGGAACAATTAACTGTACTAAAAAAACAAAGTATGGGCATACAAATATGAATAGATATATGCAAAATAAAAAGTGGCAGTCATTTCCATTACTTGGCCTTCTATTTCTCTTCGGAGGTAACTACTATTGACATAGTCAGTATGTATCCTTTTGAACTTCTGAATGTGCTAATTTTCTTTAATTCATTTAACTTTTTTTTTTTAAATAAGCCTACAGCACCCAGTATTCCCAGGCAGTCTCCCATCCAAGTACTAACCAGGCCTGACCCTGC